GGGACCGGTCGGGCCGGGACCAAGGGCACCATGTCGTCTGGGGCCAAGGAGGGAGGCGGGGGCTCCCCGGCCTACCACCTCCCGCACCCGCACCCACACCCACCCCAACACGCCCAGTATGTGGGCCCCTATCGGCTGGAGAAGACGCTGGGCAAAGGACAGACAGGTGAGCCAGAGGAGGGGACACTTGGGGCGTGGGCAGGGGGAGCTGGGGGCAGAGGGCGGAACTCACAGGTATTCAAGGGGCAGGGGCTGGCTGCCCAGAGCCCTGGGTCTGGCACTGGAAAAGGGACTTGGGGTCTAGACTGCCCCATCTCCAGAATGGAAGGGGGAGAAGGCTCAGACTCTGAGGTCCTTGAGATGAGGAGGCTGGGGGCCTGGACTCCTGGAGAATGCTGGGGCCAAGGGCTGCCACCTGGTTCCTGGCAGAGGTTGGAGGGGCTTGGCAGCAGTGGGGAAGGGAGGCCAGCCTGCAGCGGAGACAGTGGCATGGGATGGTGGCAGAGGAACAGAGGTCCTTGGTGCAGTACAGCCGCAGGCTGAGGTGAGGCGCCGGACAAACAGGGGTGAGCCCAGGGAGCGGCTTCCCTCTGCACTGTCCTCAGGCCTTGGAGGGTTGTCTGTTGGGGTGACAGGGAGTGAGGCCGGGGCAATGGGGTCTGTAGCATTTTCCCCCTTCCAAGCATGCTCGCTCAGTGTGGGTACTAGGAACAGAGAGGTGGAAGATGCAAGAGGCAAATCCCCCAGCAGTGGCTGTGGAGGGGATCATCCTTTGCTGTTGCTAAACACTTGCCACCAGACATGGCCTCTTTCCTGCCGAGTGAGGGGTGTCCTGAGCAAGAGGTCCAGGGACAGACCCAGGGTCTCTATGAAACTGAGGGCCAGGGCCTGAGGTAGGAGGGGAGAGAGTCAGACCTCCAGATGTGCAGGTGTTGCTGGCCTGAATTCCTGAGTTATGGGGAGGACGAGGCCTGAACCCCGAGTCTGAGGGAGGAGGGGCTGAACCCCGAGTCTGAGGGAGGAGGAGCTGGAGTCTGAGGGAGGAGGCTGGGGGCCTGGACTCCTGGATCTGTGGCTTTGGGGTTTCTCTTGGAGAGTCGGCATATATTTGCGGTTTGCGTGCTCTGAGCTACAGCTGGTATTAAAAGCCAATCAAAGAAAGGGATTGGAAGGTCAGGGTTTGGGAGGAGACGGATGGGATGGTCTGGGAAGGGGGCAAACATGGCATTATATTCCTTGGGAGACA